AAGGTCCGTCACCTCTAATCTTTACGAGGTAGATAAAAGAACAATACTTCATCGAAAAGAACCAAGAGACTAAAAGCTATAAAGTTCACCTATCTACAGACATAGCCTTAAAAATAACAAGGAGCCACTGTGTGATGTGACAGAAACGGAAATTAACGCCTCATTAAAAATGAGTCACGCAAGGCGCCAGACCATGAAAGCGCTGCGTAGGTTGGCATCTCAACTGGCAAAGTTTTCTCTCTCATCCTTTCCTTGGAGAAGAATGAAGTTATTTCAACCGGTGTTGTTTTGAGACGATAGTTCGTGTTTACACTTACGCGTATCAGAAATTGTCCAGACGAAGTCTGCGGGTTCAGGTAAGCGTACACCACCCAACCCATCACGCAGATAGTCGTTCCGACGAAAAATAAAATGGCCACCACACCGCTGGGAGACATTTTCCGGTGATCTAAACAAACAAGGTAAGACTGTGTACGAAAATGCTTGGCGAACGAAAGACTAAAAAATTTTTTTAAGACATACGGCACCTTACCCTCAATTTTCATGACAGTAACTGATTCTCTGGAGACCATGTGGTTCGGAGCCGTCGAGTTATCAATATCAGTCAAAAACGTTGACAACGGTGATTCGGACGACAGATCGGTATTGCGCGGTGCGGTGTTGGTCGGCACGGTGAGCGGGGTCGAATGTAACGACTCGCCGGGAGAGGTGGACATGCTGAAGTTCGTTTGGATGTCGGGCGGCGGCTCGTGAATTGAGCCCGTTCCCGGCTCGTCGCCCGTACAATACACCTGATGGTTCTGCTTGTTACACGAATAGAACAGCCACTCTTGGCGGCGTCGATGAAGGCCGGCCTCGTCAGAGCAGAATGAGCCACCGGCCGACGCCGGCACACTACACCAGCTACAGTTAAAGCCTCTGAGCGTGACGTTCAAACAGTCCCAGCAGTTATCAATAGCCATGCACACTAAAATACGCCATGCTATAAAACACTGCGAACGAAAACAAAAGAACTGCGAAACAGGTGAGTTAACACTTTGCGTTAAAGGTGCAATCTGAGGCGCAATCCAATGCCATGTAAGAGAATAAATGTTAAAAGCAGCAGAATCTTCAAAGCGCTACACTCTTTATGATGACCACGTATTTCACGTCTATCTGAAACTATCATCAATTTTCAGTTCATTATTTATGCCTGTAGTTTCATAATCATCTCAATTCTACAGTTTCTTCCTAGTTATTACAGTATGCGTGAAAGAATGTCGTGAACCGTTAAGAAGTCCGCTAAAAACGAAAAATTTAGAATGTTTTCCCCAGCAAATGTGGCATTCATCATATCCTGCTCTTATCTAAATTCTTTGAAACAACTGAAACTAGCATAAATGATGCCAGTTTGTCACAAACAACAAATGTAATAACATATAAAAAATATCTAAATCGCAAAAATGACAAGATAAATGGCACCATACAAGCAGATTTATCGCTTTGTTCATCGCCCAGTTTTATACTGCCATCGGTACTGTCCATTAATATATTGCTGATTTATGTAAAACATCTATACTGGAGTGTCATCAGATTCTGACCGCTGCTACAGAATACCGTTATACTGCCATATCTTAACAGGCTTGCACTGTAATAAAACTGTTCCGCATTACTTCCATCACTATCACCATTATTTCTATCACTATTTATTGCTGTTTTTTATATTTCTGCTCTTTCGTTCTATCTGATATGAATCTGTTTTGTTTTTATTCTCACTTATATTTTGATCTTGTAAATTTTATACAGACAGAAAAATTTACAATGCGAATCTGCGCTATTGTAACATACTCAATTAATATTATCTTGGCTATCTTGAATGTGATACTACTCCTGTTGT